AAACGGGTAGGAAAAGTAAACAAACAACCAGCCAGCAGCTTAAAGCAGCTAACATTCACTTAGCAGCAGGTGTTTCTTTCTCATCCTTCATGTCACTGTAGTAATTACAATGAGATCAAAGAGCCAAACACGCCGGTTTATTTAGAAGTGAGAGACAGGCAGCATTGCAACACAGCTATCACTGACAGCTGGGTTTTTACTAAAGGTTTAACACAAATACATACATTTTTTACATTAGCTGAGACACGATACAACAAAACATATTCTGATAATTAGTATTGCTATACAATTAATTATCAAGATATTTAAATGGCACTAAATTTGCTATGTTCAGAATTTGTTCATCTCATATTTGTGACAGCTTTATAAAAAAAAAAAGAGGATAGACATGAGTAAAAACCAAAGAAGTACAGATGATTACCTTGCTGGATTTTCTCGCTCTGGGCTTGTTGGCACGAACAACTTTGAGAGCGTTTTGTTGATCTGCAGATAAAGCTTCAATAAGTGACAGTGACATCATTATATTTGACAGCACAGGCCTAAATCCAATCTTTTTGTCTTAATTTAACAACACCAGTGAGCAGGTTGCCAGTCTGAAAAGTTGCTCAACACTGGAGTTGAAAAGTCAAGTCATGTACTCCCCTCACACACTGCAAATTTCTGTCTGTACAGGATGAATAAATATCCCCCCCACCGACTGAGTGCCTGAACTAGTTGAAGGTGTTTCGTGCACAGCCAGTGACAGAATGTGGCTGCGTCTCCGCAGGCAGCTACAGGCTGGGAGTGGCCTGCTGCAGCCCAACAGTTCCTATCGCCCGGCAGAGGATGGTTGGATTGATAAGAGAAGCAGGCCTGAGGCTTCTACATGAATGGGTGTATGCCTGACTGAGCCTGCAGACATCCACCCACAGAGCTGGTCATACAGTAACACTGTAAAATGATGCCTGTGCTCTCGCCAGAGTCGAAGGCTTCAAATATAGCTCCCTGTGGCCACTCTCTGCTCTGACACAGATATAATACTTAGCTCAAGAGTCTGAAATCAACAAGACTAGAGCTTTAATTCAGAGAAAAATAAATATGACCTCAGTAGTCATATCAATAAACTCTTAAACATGAAGTAAACTGCCTTGTTTGAACTACTGACGCTGAAATTATTAGCTGATCAGACAAAGTGAATTAATGTTACTCTAATATCTGATTCGATTATTAAAATGCCACAAAGCTCAAGCTGTAAGAAAGAAAAAGGACGGTTAAAGCTGAAGCACCAGCAGCTGTGATATTCTGACTTTTAGTCCTGAGTATAAGTCACAAACTATAAACCCTGGATCCTACATTTCCCATAATGCACATAACAGTGTCTTCCTCAGATCCCAGCTGTCTGATGAACTCCACACCTCTAGTTTGTAAAGTCAGCTTTTTGTTACGGCTACATTTAAACTCTTAAGTTGAAACCAAGAGGATGATGATGACATCATAGCAGGAGTGTCTCTGTAATTTCAAGTTTCAAGTATTTTCTATTTACAGTTTTACATATGCAAAAACAGCTTGCTTGTAGAGCTGAAACGATGACTGACTGACTAGTCAACTGGCAAAAAAATCAAATAATAATTTTAATAAACATTTGTTTTAAGTAGTTTATGAAGCAAAAACGGAACAGCAGTCATTTATTATTATCCAACATTTATTCAAGCTGGTTTAATGAGAGAACATGCTGTTTTCTCCGTTTTCTGGTTATTATAGCTGAATTTCATGTAAAATTATTATTATTATTAACATTAATAAAAATAATTGTACATATGCAAAAACAGCTTGCTTGTAGAGTTGAAACGATGACTGACTGACTAGTCAACTGGCAAAAAATCAAATAATAATTTTGATAAACATTTGTTTTAAGTAGTTTATGAAGCAAAAACGGAACAGCAGTCATTTATTATTATCCAACATTTATTCAAGCTGGTTTAATGAGAGAACATGCTGTTTTCTCCGTTTTCTGGTTATTATAGCTGAATTTCATGTAAAATTATTATTATTATTAACATTAATAAAGATCATTGTTGTTACACCGCTTGTTTTCCTCAATTCCATATAATTTAATAAGTTGCCCCCGATGGTTATTGCCATCGGTTGACTTGGCGCCGCAGATGGCTGCCTCGGTTCTGTACCGGAAACAAATCCCTTGTGTGTAACCTACTTGGCCAATAAAGGTGATTATTATTATTATTATTTGTTCCTATGTTTGTCAACTGTCTGCCAGCACCTGAGGGGTTATTTTATAATTTTCCAGCATGAATGATTAACTGATAATAGTTACAGTAAATGTAATCATTAGTTAACAACCCAAAGCTTCTTTAAGTGTCACGCCTATCAAGGCACCTTGTTCACATGCTTGTGCTTTCACTTGTGACAGTGCAGCAGGCTGGTGGGAGGACCTGCAGGCACCCAGACTATTGGATATGCAAAACGCGTTTTACAGCACCGGGAGCAGTTAGCCTGCTTGTCTTAGCTCCTACACCATGGGGCAAACCTGCAGCACAAACTTGAGGCTGATTTTGGCTCAGTTGAGCGTCTGTCCGTGCTGTACTTAACCCACTTTAGCCCTGGCATTCTGTCACTGGCGTTTCAAATAAGGGAAATGCAGTGGAACAGTTGGCGGTAGCAGCTAAAGAAGTAGCACTTGTCAGCAATCAACACGTGGTGCTCAGGAGCAATCCGAGCACAGAGGGGGATGGGGCAAATATGTCACCAGCAACACCTTGACTACGCTGATATTCGGGGTTTTGTATCATATTCAGCTATGAAAACGTCCAAATGAGCTATGCCAGACCCGTGTAGTGTAGGCTAAAGAGGATTTCCCTGCAGAGACACTGTCAAAATGCTGCAACAACGTGCTCAGTTGGGAGGAGCCGTAACCATATTGTACGTTAAAGTTTAGTCACCACAATGTGCTACCATGTGAGGAAATGTAAAATCGCCTCACCTTTCTCTTGGGAGCTGGTATTATTGATGGGAACCCTGCCCGTGGTCCTCTTAGTCCACGGGTTGACTTTCGGCGGAGGAGCTTCAACAACTTTCCTCTTCACCGTCTCAACAGCCGAGTCAGCGTTGCTGCCTTGGTCGTTTTCTTTATCGTTTTCTTTGCATTTCTTGTGCATGTCGGTCGGGCTCTTGGCTACCTCGGAGCTGTGGCCATCTTGTAGCTGTTTCTCCGATCCTTTCTGCCCCTCGGGCTTGTTTTGGTTCTGCTCCTCCGCTCCGCCGGAGCTGGCCGCTGTCAAACCTGAGTCAGCCTTACTACGCTCAACCTCTGTGGACATCCTGCTAGTTTCCTAACAGCGCACAGTGTTAAATCCAGTGTGGATTTTTGGCCCGTGGTCTCTTATCCCAGAGAAAAGTCGCAAAAAGCTCGAGGGTAAACCGCATCGACAACTTAAGGTAAACAACTTTTGGGCTGGACCTCGCTAGCCAGCTAGCCAAGTAGTTCCTACAGCTAACGGTTAGCTAGCTAGCCACCATGCAGAAGTCAGCGAGCCCGATCTAAATGTTGTGTTTCTACCACCCCGGTCGACAGTTTCATATCAACAAGTAGTTACCTCTGAATCTGTAGTCAGTCACCATGTAAATGATAGAAGCTTAACTGCCACACCTGCGAGTTTCTGTAACTTAAAAAAACTACAACTACGACCTCCTGCCTGACTGTCTGTGGTTCCAGCTCCACACTGAGAGCTCGTGCGCCCTGCTCCTCTGGCTGTAAACAGTGACTCTGCTGCCCCCAGCGGCCACACGGCGTTACTGCAACACATGATTTATTCCACTATGAATGTGACTTGGAATAAATTTGAACCGTTTTGAGAAAGGGAATCGACCATACGTTCAATACCAAATAAATACTTTACCAAATAAAGTAAATACGATTTTTCAAACAATGAGTGTGTACAGTAGTTATGAGTCCAGAGTCATGGATTGAAACTTGTTTAATGAATTTTTGGGAAACTTATCAGCAAATGTCGGAAGATGAAGATTTTTGACAATATGTCTAATCACAAAATAGCAAACATCACTAACACAGCATATTATATTCATCCATCCATTTTCTGTACCACTTATCCTGAAGAGGGCTGCTGAGGGCCTGAGTCAATCCCATCTGACACTGTTGTGAGAGGCAGGCTCCACCCTGGACAGGTTGCCACTATCACAAGGCTGACATGTAGGTAAACAACCATGCACTGTGGGAGGAACTTGGAGTACCCAGAGAGAACCCATGCAGGCACAGGGAGAACATGCAGACAGAAAGGCACTGGATTGGGTTGGCCGGGGCTTGAACCCGGAACATTCTTGCTGAGGCAAGAGCACTAACCACTGCATCACCATGCCTCCCATATTCATTCATAAATCTGTTGCCTGATGATTCGAGAAAATGATCAATAATTACTAATTTTCTTGTTTTCTAATGTCTTGATTCCAAAATGTACAATCTAGTTTAGAGGTACTGTAGATAAGATCCTGCACTGATGAATCAAATCATCAGTGCACCTTTAGAGTTTTGTTGTAATGGTGGCTCCAGCAGGGCTTAAACCAACCCAGGCAGTGAGGACAAACAGAGAAAGCAGAGATGTCAGCATCATGGAGAAATGTTTCAGTGCCGGTGCAGATGATTCTCAGGGTCTGGTGTAGATGTAAGGATGCCCCTATAGAAAAGTAAGAAAAATGTGCTTAAAACAGCTTTTTTCATGAGCAGACATCACATGAAAATCTTAAATGTGTTACTCCTGTTGTACCTTTGGTGGGCAGATGAGTTGTACCGGCTCTGCAAATGTGTGTATCATTTCTTTCCCTCCCTCTGGCTGGAACTGAGAAAACATTTTGATTAATTTGTAGTGTCAGTATCAGGACAGTTTGTGTTTTTTATAGTGTTGTGTTGTCTGTGCTGATTCTCAGTCATCCAGGTCATAGTAAGCTGAAAAAAATAAACTGGACTAGATTTCTAGGTCAAACACGTTTCACCTCTCATCCAAGAGGCTTCATCAGTTTAGTCTTCAACCTAGAAATCAGTTTATTTTTTTCTAAGTTTTTTCAACTTCAGAGCCTTTTCCTTCATATGTCCTCTTTATGACTAGTTAAAAATGTAAAACGTCACCATGTTGTTCCACAGCCCCTTTGCCAGTTCCTCATGTCCCTTCACAGTGAAATGGAAACAATCTGCCGTGAAGAAGCTCATGTCAATCTTCCCGTCCTGAAGTTAAGAGAGGGAAAGTTGGACAAAAACGTATTTTTAAATAGAGACAATACAAATTTTAAGCTCTTTAAAATCAGATTATGAGTGTGTGTGACTTACATGACCTCTTGGTGGTTCTGCCTTCTCTAAATAAGGCTGCAGAACAACGGCGAAGTCCTGTTTGAAGAACCGATCGCTGTGCAGAAGCGCCTTTAATCTTCTCTGTAAACAAGGACATTTGATCTTATGGGTTAACCGTAATGATATTGCTGGTTGTAGTTAATACTCTCCCTCAGTTTGTGCTTGCCTCCTATTACAACCCTGTAATAACCCATGTATCAACACATGTAAACTATGAGAGACATTTATATGCCAAGAAGGCAAATGACAGATCACAGTTGCTCTTCTAGATAGAGCTGCAATGACATTTTAATGAAAGGATGCAAAGAAAATGCTGATTTCAGCCTCATATTCAGATTTTCTGCTTCTCTGGTTTATATGACAGGAAACTGGAAATCTTTGGGTTTTGCTGGTTGGGCAAAACAAGAACTTTGAAGATGTCACCTTGGACTCTGAGATCCTCTGAGATATTTTCCCTATTTTCTGACATAATTAATGGATCAACACTTACCTCCAAATATTTAATATTAGATGACTTGGTAATAAAAAGCAGCGGCCGGTTGCAACCCTACCACTAGTTCAGAATGAACCTCTTTACTGGACGCCTCTTTTGGAGGTTTGATCTAAATCGACCATCACCGTGCTAAGCAGGCTCAGTTCGAAAACATCTCATTTCTTCTACTTTCATCCCTCATCCTTTCTAAATAAGCATGACGCTTTTCAAATATGGCCCCGAGTGGATAGGTCTCTGTGTTTAAAAGGCAATGAGGAGGTTTAATCTGTTTAAAAACAATAAAGCCTGGTCGAGGACTGTGGCAGTAAAGACTAACGATGATCTGTTGTAACTAACTCTCATTTCAAATGACGAGGCCAATCACACAAGACAGGTATACAGTGGTGTGAAAAAGTATTTGCCCCCTTCCTGATTTCTTATCTTTTTGCATGTTTCTCACACTGTAATGTTTCAGATCATCAAACAAATTTATATATTAGTCAAAGATAACACAAGTAAACACATCATGCAGTTTTTAAATGAAGGTTTTTATTATTAAGGGAAAACAAAATCCAAAACTACATAGCCCTGTGTGAATAAGTGTTTGCCCCCTTACTGATTTCTTATCTTTTTGCATGTTTCTCACACTGTAATGTTTCAGATCATCAAACAAATTTATATATTAGTCAAAGATAACACAAGTAAACACATCATGCAGTTTTTAAATGAAGGTTTTTATTATTAAGGGAAAACAAAATCCAAAACTACATAGCCCTGTGTGAATAAGTGTTTGCCCCCTTACTGATTTCTTATCTTTTTGCATGTTTCTCACACTGTAATGTTTCAGATCATCAAACAAATTTATATATTAGTCAAAGATAACACAAGTAAACACATCATGCAGTTTTTAAATGAAGGTTTTTATTATTAAGGGAAAACAAAATCCAAAACTACATAGCCCTGTGTGAATAAGTGTTTGCCCCCTTACTGATTTCTTATCTTTTTGCATGTTTCTCACACTGTAATGTTTCAGATCATCAAACAAATTTATATATTAGTCAAAGATAACACAAGTAAACACATCATGCAGTTTTTAAATGAAGGTTTTTATTATTAAGGGAAAACAAAATCCAAAACTACATAGCCCTGTGTGAATAAGTGTTTGCCCCCTTACTGATTTCTTATCTTTTTGCATGTTTCTCACACTGTAATGTTTCAGATCATCAAACAAATTTATATATTAGTCAAAGATAACACAAGTAAACACATCATGCAGTTTTTAAATGAAGGTTTTTATTATTAAGGGAAAACAAAATCCAAAACTACATAGCCCTGTGTGAATAAGTGTTTGCCCCCTTACTGATTTCTTATCTTTTTGCATGTTTCTCACACTGTAATGTTTCAGATCATCAAACAAATTTATATATTAGTCAAAGATAACACAAGTAAACACATCATGCAGTTTTTAAATGAAGGTTTTTATTATTAAGGGAAAACAAAATCCAAAACTACATAGCCCTGTGTGAATAAGTGTTTGCCCCCTTACTGATTTCTTATCTTTTTGCATGTTTCTCACACTGTAATGTTTCAGATCATCAAACAAATTTATATATTAGTCAAAGATAACACAAGTAAACACATCATGCAGTTTTTAAATGAAGGTTTTTATTATTAAGGGAAAACAAAATCCAAAACTACATAGCCCTGTGTGAATAAGTGTTTGCCCCCTAAACCTAATAACTGGTTGGGCCACCCTTAGCAGCAACAACTGCAATCAAGCGTTTTCGATAACTTGCCATGAGTCTTCCACAGCGCTGTGGAAGACTCATGGCAAGTTATCGAAAACGCTTGATTGCAGTTGTTGCTGCTAAGGGTGGCCCAACCAGTTATTAGGTTTAGGGGGCAAACACTTTTTCACACCACTGTATATAAATATATATGGACAGGGATTTTTACTAAAGCAACAAAAGTGACATTACGACCTGAAATGTAATTTTCACTCATAAATAACAGTTTCAGAATTGGTGTGGATGGTCTAATTTGTTCAGTCCTCTCTGTTGAGAAAACATGATGTGTCAACTACAGGTCAACACAAACACACTAATAGTTAATAAGGTAAAATTCAAGCCTGGCTATAGTAAGAGTACAAACTTCACTGAATGAACACACCTGGAATTCATAATTAATCTCAGCCAGCTCCTGCAGGTCAGGGGAGTTTTCTTCAGGTCGAACTAGACATGAGCAAAAACTCCTGGGAGAGGACAATCAGTTTATCACACTAGTGGCCTGTCATTTCATCAGGTTAGCATAATCAGATTATCATATCAATTGTGACTTGTAATCTCAGTGGGCCCTAGCCAAACCATTTGGCACGTTTTAATCACCATGTTGCACGTTACTATCGGCTACTTCTAAGAAAGTCTACATTATAGCTTTTGACATAATTTGCTGGTAATGGCTCAACCCTGCAGTTTGACCTGAGCGGTGTAAAACCAAAACAAAAGAAGAAGATATTTTGGGTAACTTTTGAAGCTGACAGCCCAGAGTTGGTTTCTGAACTTCTCTGAGAGGTTTCATGGAAAGAATCTGCACCACGTTCACGATGGTCCTGGGGATCTGAAGGCAGAAGAAAACATTCATCAACTAAAATAGTCTCTGAAGAGTTAAGAATGTAATGCCTGAATATCTATTATCATGGTTTCTGCAAGGTAATGACAAACTGTTGGCCGCTGACATTTTATCTTATCTCTTACCTTGTTTGGAGCCGTAAACTCTTACCTCATTCATCATCATGTCCAGAGCTTCAGTCATGTAGTGGATGAAGTTGTCAGGAGAGAACAGCGTCTGTGGAGAGTTGGAGCAAACGTTTCTTTCCTTCATTTTTATACTTTAATAGTCCTGTAGTACCTGGTACTTTTTACCATACGGACTCTGAGAGACGAGGCAGTCCAAGTAACTACAAAACAGTGCTGATTTATTCCATGAATACAGGTAAAAATTAACATTACACGCTCAGGCATCCTTCACCTCCAATACTGCACGCAGGCAGATGAAAGATGAAAGACCCTGAACCCAACAGGCCTGTACATTATATCTGGTTTGGGCTAACCCCATTCTACACAGGCACGTCAAAC